TTATAAAACTTTGTGTTGATTATCAATATTTGAAAATATCGGTCAAACATGTAACTACTGTCAACAATGATGATGTACCAAAAAAGTAAAAATAAAAAAACATCATGTTAATGTACCAAATAATCCCACCCCATCCAAAACAGTGTACAGCTTTACAATTTACAATAAGGATCCCTTTAATATTTGTGGATATGCATAATGCAGTAATACAGTACAATATTTCTTAATAACAAATAAACATTTACAAATGCCAAAAGTTAGTCTTTAATGTGAAAAATCATAATTTATAAAACTTTGTGTTGATTATCAATATTTGAAAATATCGGTCAAACATGTAACTACTGTCAACAATGATGAGGAATCAAAAAAGTAAAAAAAACAAACAAACATAATGTTAATGTACCAAATAATCCCACCCCATCCAAAACAGTGTACAGCTTTACAATTTACAATAAGGATCCCTTTAATATTTGTGGATATACATAATGCAGTAATACAGTACAATATTATATGTTAATATATGTTTCTCCTAATCATTATTGTGCTTACAAGGTAGTAAAGTAGTCTGAAATATTTATTACACAAACAGTTTTGGCTCAGTATTAGGAAAGAATCAGGACAGTTTAGCCTCTTTTTTTTTTACCTTAATTAATGCATAATAAACACTTATTAATAATTTACAAAGTGTTTACAGAAGATTTAATAACCTATCTTTAAACTCTTTAAAAGCCACCTATAAGGAGAGCCTTATTGTAAAGTGGTACCCTTTAAAAAATACATTACAAGTGTTTGAACATGTATGACTGGTTAAATGTATAAACCTTACCAAAACTGGGGATTTGTGTGAAAGGATGTGGAACAAAGACTTGGCCCCTCTATGAATATTGTGGCCCCTTGATGGCCCCTCACTCAGAAAAACCCTGGACCCGCCACTGGAAGATCCTAAATTATCTTCTTTCTGTGGATGCTATTAGTTCCTGAAGACACATACTTTCACATTACAATGGCCATCCATCCATCCATCCATCCATCCATCCATCCATCCATCCATCCATCCATCCATCCATCCATCCATCCATCCATCCATCCATCGCTGAAGTTCTGTTATTTTGTCTGGTACCACTGCTGTCATTTTTTGAATTTGTATTGCACCCATGTGGATATATTTTGTAATTACACCCAGTCTACAGCAGCTCACACTTCTCAGTCAGGATATGACTCAAACAGCTCACAGTCTTCAGTTTTTGAATTGAGAACTTTTTGGACTCACATACAGTTAATTTATTTAGATGATGACAGGTTCTGTTCTAATTAAGAAAAAATATGCCAAGTTTAGATTCTCTCGTGCATGACTGAACCTATGAAATATTTCTGTGTCTGTGTGTCATTTACCASAGCATGGACTTGAGTAAAACTCTCGGACACTAATCACTGGATGGAAATCTACAACTGATTAMGTTTTTGGAGTCAAAACAAATGAAGATGCTGCCACAGCAGCAAGGAAACATAAAAACGGTTAGAACTCTGTGAGTTTAAAGATAATGAGCTGAAGTTTATATAATATTTGTCATTTCAAACAGACACTCAGWAGCTGACTGATTGCAGAATATAGCATTATCAGACTTTTTCAAGATTTTACCAAAACAACAACATCTTTGTCCTTTTTCAATAGTCACATGTCTTCAAGGAATTCTAGGCCTTTATTTAGTCAATTAAATTTAGATTTGTTGAACAACTTTTCTTCTTGGATAATAAAAACCAACATTTATACTTGTTGAATCAAGATTAAATAGTATATTTTACATTTTTCACACAAATACTTRAATTCTCCAAATCAGTTTTTAATATACATGTACAGTATTTTTATTGTATGTGGAGTAAATCATAAAGTCTTCAAAGACAAAAAAAAAAAACAACAAAAAACTTCAGAATTATAGATATATTTTGGTGACGTAAGATCAAATTTAATGACCACAAACAAAATATCATAAAGTCAATAAAAATCCAGAGGCTTCAAACAAAACACAAACAATAACATCCACTTTTATATTATATATATATTTATGTATATAACAATAACTGCGATAAAAAATATTAATAAAGATGAAAGTATAAAAGCTGTGGGGGGGCTCCCAGCACAGTAATACTGTCAAGATGGGACACATCGCTCATCAGGCACTGAGGGATAATACATCATCAGGTCCATATCAAACACAGAAACACTTCTGAACAACCAGAACACTTATTGCATCTTCATTAATACTTCATATAAAACACATTACGTGAGGCAAAGTGAGGAAGACTCGTGTGTGGCCCCTGAGGGCCGCAGGTCGGGACAGACTGATTGTCTTTGCGTTGACATAAATGGCTTTTCTCCACCCAGAACCAGTCAGGTTTTCCTTCACACACAGTTTGTCAGCCTGAGTGGCTCTGAAGCTTAAACATCTCATCTGTGAGGAGATTCTAACACTGGTGAAAAAAAAAGTAACAAAAAATAAATTTACAAAGATGTTTTTATCATTAATACTTAAAGAGCATCATGTCTGATGTGTAATAAAAAGTTTTTATTTTTCCCGTCTGGAGAAAAACTTCAGGCCTTCAGGAAAAAYTGATCCAAGTCTCTGTTTGTCTTGTTTTACGCGTTAAAACCAAAATTTCGACATAACCTTTAAATCTACTCAGATTTTATAGAATCACATAAGTGACACTTACTAAATAAATCAAAAAATTTAAATTATGGCTTGTAAAAAAGCATTTTTCCATTCTGAACTGATCATTTATGAGCGCAGAGTTTTTGATAAAAAGATTATTTTTAAAACACATGCATGTTTGCTAAAGTTAAACAGCTACAACAAAAGTGCTTTAAGTCATCTAATAATTTTTCTTTTAAAAACGGCTAATGATTACTAGATAACTTATTGT